AGAAGGGAGAAGGGAGAAGGGAGAAGGGAGAAGGGAGAAGGGAGAAGGGAGAAGGGAGGAGGAGGAGGAGGAGGAGGAGGAGGAACAGAAGCAGCCTTAATTTCTTGATTTTCCAAGGCATTTCCAACACTTGGATAGGTCAATAGCGTTATATCCGGGATGTCCACAGGGTGTGGTCCAAAAAGTCAAGAGCATGGCCACAATGCATGTAAACAAGAGACAGAGCTTTGATTACCCTCTCATGGCCTTCATCTTGATTTTTTTGGCCATACCCTGCAGACACCCCATTTTGCATCTAATACCCATTGTGATTATGATTAGATTTATGGCTGTGAATCCTTCTCTGCCCACCAGTGGGGCCTATGCAGAAAGGCACCACTTGTCTGGTTCAGACTTTAACTGAAAGGCCTCCAATGGTCAGAAGCAGATGGCTGTCTCAAAGATGTTCACACATGTTGCATGAACATCATGTAGCATCTTAGTGGTTAAGATGTCAGACTGGGAGCACAGACCATTGGGTGACTTTGAGGTGGTTGCATTCTCTCAGTCCAGCCTACCTCATGGGGCTGTTGTGGGGCTAAAATTTGGAGAGACCTTCAAGGCCAACTTCTTCAATTGGTTTTGAGTTACTTGATGTGAATGTTCAGAAGAACTTGCAAGGGGTCCCCTACTTGGATAATCTCAGGGGTATGGAGGCTCAGAGGAGTTGCTACTACAGTGCTGGCTGGGGAATTCTGGGAGCTGAAGTCCACCCATCTTCAAGCTGGCAAGGTCAAGAAACACTGTGCTACTACGTTGCTGCATCTGTCCACTGGAAGACCCTTCCCCTTGAAATGCGATCAATCCCCATTTTATTCGCATTTCATAAATTGCTCACTGCTGAATTATTCAGAAGAGCAATTTGAGTTATTTATTTATTCCTATTTTAAAATTTTATTTTTGCTGTTGTTTTTTAGATATTTTGTTACATCTGTAACCTGTATATTGGGGATACCCGTGTCTCATATATGTTACATATTTTGTGATCTGTGCATTTTTCAACATTCGTTTTTATGTTATTAATATTACGCTAGAGACATTTTACTGTCCTGGATGATTTTGTAAGCTGCCGAGAGTCATCTGACTGTGGCAAGGGACAAATCTAATAAATAAACACGTGTACCTCACCTTGAGTTTCTGGGAAAGGGCAGGATGTAACTAGAACAAAATATACGTTTGACTGATTGCTTGCAAGCAGACAAGCTTTCAAGGTCCCCACTCCGCGAAGGATTTGCACTGGGGAATCAGTGGGGAGGAATTTGGCTAAGCCTTTTTTCTGCCAGCCCCTAGACTCCTCCCTCCAACATCGTCCCCCAAATCCCAAAGAATTAAATGGTGGGTACAAAAGCTCAGAGCCTCAAAGGAGGCACCATCTAGTTGACTTACCCTGGGCTTGGAAGCTAAGCAGAATCAAACCTAGTTAGTTTGGATAGGAGGCCACTAAGAAACCCCAGATTTGTAGACTGACGTTTTAAAGAATCCCGGAAAACAGGGGCAAACCCCTCCCTTAGTTTTGGCAAGAAAACCAGGGGGGTGAGTCCATTAAGTCTCCAGAGGTTGAGCTCAACTCAGGAGAGGCTTCCATTTTTAAGATAGATGACACTTAGGAGGTGAGGCACGAACAAAGACAGAAATGAGCGGCTCTTTTTCCAGCAAGGCCTATGCAGCGTGGCAAAGGCAAGGAGAAAGGGCACACACCCTGCCCTTGCCATGCTGCTCCCTTCAGCATCTCTCCAACCCGGCCTATCTCAGCAGGCTGGAGAGTTGGAGGGCGTGAAATGAGGGCAGCTTCTTTGCCCACTGGTGGGCACCTGGGGGGGGACGTCCCTGAGACCAATGAAGAATGGACACGGGCTTGCTAGTTCAATGCACATTTTTAATTGGCCAGCAGTCTCACTTTTCTGTCCTCTGAGCAGAGAAGATTAAGCGGCTAAAAACCCCAGTCAGAAGGATCGCTTCTGGTCACACGCTGAGGCTCGCTGGGTGGACGGTTAATTATAAGCCTTTCTTTGACAGTAACAGAAGCGGAAGATGAAAAGGATGTTGATTCGTGTGCAGGATTCTTCCGCGAAGAAAAAGCTTGGCTCTGAAAAGAAAGAGATTGGGACAAATTGGACCGGTTCACACACCCCACAGGACTAGCTAAAAGGGGGTCAGGTGGACGGGGGCTCAGGGTATTGTGGGAACGCAGCCCTGTCTTAACCAGGTCATGACATCAAGCCCAGACATGGCTAATAGTTTGACAAAAGATGCCCTGGGAACATAACCGGCTTTTAAAAATCTGGGTGTGTTTCAGGGTGCTGTGTGAGCCCAGTCTTGAAGATGCTTGAATTTAGGACCGTGCCCTGAGCATGGGGTGGGCTTGATGGCCTCAGGGACCCCTCTGGTGGTCAAACTCTCTGCAGATGTTCCGTATCGCTGCTCAGCCTCTGCTCTGCTCTTCCCTCAGCTTCTAGGTCCCCACCAAGACCTTTTCTCCTCCTTCTCTGCAAAAGCCTCCCTCATGGAGAAGGGCAGCCATCGGCTGACCCTATCTGGGGGATATTTACCAAATAAATATCAGATTTGGGGGACTTTTTTGTGACAGCAGATTTGTCTTCCAAAGTGCTAAAGTTGTATGTTAGGTGGGGGGAATGTCCACCGGGTGAGGTCAAGAAAGTCAAGATGTTGGCTGCAGGAGTGCAGTTGACGCTCCAACTTTTATTTGCAAAACCCATCAAAAACAGGCCGAGCCTCCGTTGCACCACTGCGGCCACTAACCTGACTTGTTTGACCACACCCTGTGGACGCCCCTGGCGTTTGGTCCATAGGAGGACGAGGGGCAAATGGCATCACCCACGTCACGACATCATTTGCACAACGATACCCTTGTGTGCAATGTCATTGTGGCTTGTCATGCCTGCCTCTGGGATCCCTCGTTCCCTTTCGTACCCATCCCTCGCTTGCTGTCCCCTCTAGCATCCCACAGCTGGTCACCCTTCAGTACTTGGGGAGATAGCTCAGCCAGGGAGCACCTCCACCTCTTTCTCTTCACGCATCGGAAATGTCTGTGCCTGTGTTAGGGATCTGTCGGGCCAACGCTGGGCACCATTCAGGCCTGGAGGGCTGCCACGACCTTAAGGCTCATGTGTTTGCTTAAGAAATGGATAGGACCACCCAACTCAAACAATTGCATCTCTGGGTGATATGCAATCAATAATAAATCCATACAGTTATAAACAACAATTAATAGGCGAATGGAAGCCAAATGTCTGTCATAACCTTCCAGTGGGAACTGAAACAAATTGCCCCCCACCCCAGGGAAAGAGTTTTTAGACCCCTGTAAAGGCCAGCAGGATTACAGCAACCATATATTCGGGGAGATCCTTCCAGAAATCTGCAGAGCTACAACAGAAAAGACGCACCGTGTGGGTTGCGCCCGGTGACGTTGCTTTGGGGAAGAGACCAGAAGCGCGCCCATCCTTACTTAAGCAGTAGAAACTGGGGGGGGGGGGGGGAGGATAGGACAGGCGTTCCCTCAAATAACTCAGTCCTGTGCCATGTAGGCCTTTAGAGGTCATCATCAGCTTGTGGGGAGGCAGTGCAGCTCACAAACTGGGGGTGTTACTTGGACATACTGAGATGTGCCCATCAGTCCCTGCGCTGCCACATTCGGGACCAACTGCAACTTCAGGTTGGTCCAGTGAAGTCAGTGGCTCTACTTTAGTACTGTACGCAAAATAGGTTTTTATTTAATATCACTGCAGGATTAATTTAAGATCTATTACACTTTGGCCACTGTGGTGATGGTCCCGTTGAATCTATTCCCCAGGTGCAGCTGCACTCTCCTTCTATGCTGATATCCAAAGAAGACTC